CAATAGGATATCAAAAGGTTTCGATTAGAAAATCTTAATAATATGAGTTCTGCACTCAAATATAAAGTTTCTTCATTGAATATGATTACGGCAATTTTTTTACATTATATTTCACACACACATGACGCGTGTAAATATCTAAAAGTAAGAGAAATTGAGAAAAGGACAATTGGGAAGAATAGTATATCGGTCTATTGAGATCACGTACTGGCGACTTCAACACAACAGTCTAGGAATCTGACGGATCGAATGTGAGCGGGCGTCTGCAACAATGTTGCTAACTATCGCGCGACTAGCAATACACATTGGGGCCTGCAGCGTCAGGTCGTTCACAGTCGTACAGACAGCGAGATCACGGTAAGTAGTTCTTCAATAGTTATAAGGAAACAAGACGCAACACGTCTCATGTTTATTTTATTTCTATGAAGGATATTGCGAGAGAGAATATTGTGAGTTAATAGAAAATGATTTTCCATTCCGATGACAACCTTTTTTTAAAAATATTTTATATAAGCTTAAAATAAAGTTTGGGAAACCGAGAAAATTTGAAGGACAGGAAACTTGAAAAATAGTATAGGCCGATCGTAGTATTGGCCTACTGGGGACCCGCTACGTTAAATAATGGGAACGCATCGACTGTGGCACCTCTTGGGTGATGTGGAAGCCCGCAGGTTGTCGTTGTTATGCCTTTATTGTAATAAGATAAATAAATTAATTGGATATACTCTTTAATTTGTTAATCCCATTTGCAAAAGCATATTTTTTTTTGTAAAAAAAATGCTCTCTATAAAGGGGTCTCGAACCATAGACCTCCCGATTCGTAACCGGGTGCAATAGCCAGACGCCAGAAACACGTGTATGTTTTACTTGTTTCGGAACTTGTATTTCTAGAATTTCATCGTTTATTCAACTGCTTACTATTATCGTTTCGCTTACTTTACATATAAGCAAAATAATATGAAGATGCACTCCAGTTAAGAACTTTCGCGCCACACTTCTCCACGTGGAGGTACAAAAGAGAATTATATAAACTTTGAGCAACCTAGAAAGGTTAAAAGAGAGGAACCTTGACAGGTTATTGACACAGCTACGATGCTCGTTTAATACTAAATTAAATTTATTATAGATATTTATCTATGATATTTCAAAATTTCTCTTTGAACTGTTCTCGGTCGTTTCATTTACCAACGAATTTCGCCATTCATTTTTTAATGTTCATTTTCGGCATGATAAGAGGTAAAGAGTAAAAACCAATATTTCTATGCATTTTTTATAACTTTGAAATTTATTTGAATATACACATTTGTTTGCGCATTACGTCCATACAAACGTTTAGGGTTCGGTTGGACGGAAGACCTTGCTGCCCCGCCTGTTTGTCAAGAACGGTTTGTGAGGGGCGGCAACATTTTCCCCACCACCGAGCAATCCATTCATTTTCATTGACTGCAATATCGGGTGGAACGATGATCATGACCCGCATGGCTACGCGAAATCTGTAACATCGACAGAGGCGATGATGACGAAATCCAACTCCCGGACTCGCCGCTACGATTTAGCGCCATGCTTTTGGTATCG